CTTTCGAGCCTATACAGCTTGGAGTAAGACAACATGCATGAAGAGGATGATGTGGACAAAATACTCATTTGCCTAATACACTCCCTGTATAAGGAACCACCAATGATAACCTATAGGAGAGGAAGGAATATTAAAGATAGAGCTTGCCAGGACCCTAATACTTCAGATAAAATCCTAATAAGCCATAACGTACAAGGTAATTTCAAGTGTGGGTCATGCATTAATTGTCAATACACCAAAAATGTAAAATCATTCAAAGACCCTATAAGTAACAAAACCATTGCAATAAAGGGCTTTATCACATGCTGAACTAAAAATGTAATCTACATGATACAGTGCCTATGCATTAAAATATATATAAGAGAAACATCCTGCCCTCTAAAAGATCGAATTAATGAACACAGAAGTTCGATCAAGAGGAATGATCTAACCAACCCTGTTACAAGACGCTTCAATGATAAACATCCAAGTTCACCTTTATTTTTTCTTGGCATTGAAGCAATTAAACTAAACCAAAGAGGTGGTAATACTAATTTTATCCGGAAAAAAAGAGAAGCATTTTGGATATTCCGTTTTAAAAGTCTGCACCCTAGAGGTGTGAATGAGGATTTTTCTATCAATGAGTTTTTGTGAGCTTAAACCTTTTTATATTTTTAACGTTATTATTATTATTTTTTCCCAGTTACAATATTCTCGCATGAGTAATGTTTATTCATTTATTTATATTTATTTTATCAGCAAAAGAAGGTGTAGCATTCTAGACATCTCGTTTTAAGTCTACATTTGAGAGATTTTACATTGTAGAGACATAAATGAGGACCTTTCCACAAATGTGTTTTCATGTTATGACTTCCTCTTGTTTCTTAACTGCTGCACCCACCTCCTTATTTTTTTATGAAATGCTGTCATTTGTAACCATTTTATGTTTTTTTTTTTTTTGTATATTCATAATATTCTTTTTATGTATTTCACACGTGTTATTTTGAGACAGCTGGGGATTATGTCCCTTATTATTGATGATTATCTTCATCATTAATGATCTAGTCCAGTATGTTTACTTGGGTGTGACTTAACCAAATACCAACCTGTTATACATTATCTTATCTATCTATGAAGATGTGATTGGTTATTCTGAATTTTTTTTTCTGTTCCCTGTCTTTTATTTAAGCAAACTTCTACAATGTTTTACTATGACCCTGATGAAGGCCACAACCCGAAAAGCGTTGGTCACATAATAAAGTTGTTCCTCTTCCCTTAAGCGTTGCTGGAGTTCCTGCATTGTGAATTGTTTCATCCTCTCCATGCACCTTGGAAGTAGGTGAAGTTGTGCCAGAAACATTTGCTGTGATTCACACAAAGGCCCTCGCCAGATGTTAGAATCAAAGTCAAGAACATTCTGTGAAGCAACAGTGCTAACTACTGTGCCACCATTCTGCCCATGACGAATATAATGAGTGTATAAATTAAATAAATAAATAGATCACAAAAGAACCATAAAGAAAAGGTATAAATGAAGAAGAACATATTACAGATAGTATACAGGAATTAATTATTACGTTTCAGGAGGTCCCTCAAAGGTGCCGTGGATATCTGACCTCCCATTCTATGCCCAGCTGTTAAAAACCTCATAGGGCAGAACAAACATCTCCTTCTCTGTTTTTCTCTTTTGTTCTTTTGGAAAAATTTGTGTCCACAAAGGTGTTTTCCAGACATGCCTGTTGACAAAAATGACCAGCTGCCCAGGGAGTAATGCTGCTGAACCTTTTGAAAATGCCTCATCTTTAATGAACTTTTCCCCTTGTTTTTGTGGCTGTTGCTGTGGGCACTGCTGCTTTTCTGTTGTCGTTGCTGTTTTTCATATTGTGACCCTGCTGACCCCTCTCTGAACGGAGCCTCTTGTTTTCTCTTTTCTGAGCTCCTGGCTGTTGTGAGTCAGGACCTCTCTGGAGAGGCGATGGTCCATCCATAGCTCTATTGATGACAGTTCATCAGCATGCAGGGGGGACTGCTGCAGTCACCACAGAAACCACATACACCCAACCTCTTCAAATCCCAAGGCTTTAATCTTCTACTGTGATTCGATTCCACTGCTCTCTATTTTTTCCTTTTCATGAGAAATATTTATTTAAATAACAAATTGACAGAATGTGTTATTGTAATAAAGGCACTTTAATTTTGTTTCTGAGGATTAATTATACATCTGCATAGGTGAAGGGGTGAGGGGTTGTATGGGCAAATTGTATGGGTCCCTACAAATGTTTTTCAAAGCCTTCATGTTAACGTAGGAGCTTGAAAGCTCATTTCTCACATGAAAATCATGACATGATATGATTATTCAATTCAATTCAATTTTATTTATATAGCACCAAATCACAACAAAAGTCGCCTCAAGGCGCTTCATAGATACAGAGAAAAACCCAACAATCATATGACCCCCTATGAGCAAGCACTTTGGCGACAGTGGGAAGGAAAAACTCCCTTTTAACAGGAAGAAACCTCCGGCAGAACCAGGCTCAGGGAGGGGCGGCCATCTGCTGCGACCGGTTGGGGTGAGAGAAGGAAGACAGGATAAAAGACATGCTGTGGAAGAGAGACAGAGGTTAATAACAGATATGATTCAATGCAGAGAGCTCTATTAATACATAGTGAGTGAGAAAGGTGACTGGAAAGGAAAAACTCAATGCATCATGGGAATCCCCCGGCAGCCTACGTCTATTGCAGCATAACTAAGGGAGGATTCAGGGTCACCTGGTCCAGCCCTAACTATATGCTTTAGCAAAAAGGAAAGTTTTAAGCCTAATCTTAAAAGTAGAGATAGTGTCTGTCTCCCGAATCCAAACTGGAAGCTGGTTCCACAGAAGAGGGGCCTGAAAACTGAAGGCTCTGCCTCCCATTCTACTTTTAAATACTCTAGGAACAACAAGTAAGCCTGTAGAGCGAGAGCGAAGTGCTCTAATAGGGTGATATCGTACTACAAGGTCATTAAGATAAGATGGGGCCTGATTATTATACAGCAAGTGTACCTAACTTTCTTTAGGTACACTTGCTCATACCAGATGGGACTCCTTTTACCTTCAGAACTACCTTCATTCTTTGCGGCATAGATGCAGCAAGGTTCACATTCATCAACTGTACAGCCAAATCTTCTATTCCAGCATATCCCAAAGATGCTTTCTTGGACTTAGAGCTTGTGACTGAGCTTGTGACTGTGCAGATCATTTAAGTACCCTGAAGTCACTGTCATGTTCAGGAAACAAGTTTAGAGATGTTCTTAGCTTTGAAACTTTAAGCTGGAAGCTGAGTGTATTCAGTGAAAATAAAGTGTTAAAGATGTACAATTATCGTTAAAATAAACAGAATGTAAAACATTGTCATCAAAGTTAAATTGACCGATGAAGTTTATGGGATTTTCCTGCTCGCCTCCCTCAGGCCAGCTGGTAGCAGGGACCTGTGAGATTGTGACTCTGGACCGTGACAGCAGCCAGCCCAGGAGGACCATCGCACGGCAGACAGCTCGCTGCGCCTGCAAGAAGGGACAGATTGCTGGTACGACGAGAGCCAGACCAGCCTGTGTGGATGGTAAGATCCTCACTGTCCTCAGACGACTGCTGCTGACTGGTGAATACGATGAATAATATATAAAAATATATTATGTTAAATAAGACAAGCAGTGAATCAGGAAAAAAAGTTTACATTTTGAATATCAAACTGTAAAAAGAGGTAGAAAATGCCAGGTTTCATTTAACACCTTTTTGGCTACCACAAATGAACTAAGGAAATCCCAAAAAGTTGGTTATGTTCATCTGGACTCAGCGTTTTTAGTGTCTTCTTCAGTCTCAGCTGACTGCAGGTTTCCCCAACCCTATAATCAGCACAGTTACATGATGACCAAAACTTGCTCCATGACTAACAATGCGCTGTGAGGTCAGTTTTGTGATTATGAATATGCAAATTTATATGCCCAGTGATCGATGGCAATGAGAACCATTCACAGAGAGTTGGGGAATGGGTCCAATCATAGCATTGTAAGTAAGTAAAAGATGTACCATTAAGTGTAATTTGTGTACACAAATGTGTCCATCTGTGTAGACATTTTTGTTCAGACAGGGGAGAGAGGTTTTTACCTACTCCAATCGACTAACTCCGTGTCACTGGAACTGGGTAACATATGCATTTTTCAGATTGTGGGAACAGAGCTCCGGCAGGAAGACAGCCTTTTCTTCGTCTGCCAGCAGACTCTGAACATGCTCTCCTTGCTGAACCATAAGGCCTCGGCCTCTGGTCCAAGATGGATGTTACCTTTTCACATAAATGGCTTCCATAACTCTTTGCTCAATCAAGCTTTGGAGTTTGAAAGCCACAGAGACTCATTGCTATTGATCAATGGTTACACCAATTTATATGTCAATGATTGTGAAACTGACCTCATATTAGTCAGTGGCATTTGTTTTGGTCATAATACAAATGAATCCAAAAAAAAAAGCTTTGAGGCTGAATAGCAAACAGTAAAACAAACAGAAACGTTGGCCTGATTTAATTTGACATTTGATTTTAATTTTTTAGCTGTTACAAATGAACTTTAAAAAAAAACTGGTTTCTTGTGTAGAAGTAACATTACATAACAGTGCGTTATACAAAAGTACTGCTTGCTGAAGGCACTTGGATGAGTGATGAAATATGTCTCCCACTGAGCACGCCACATCCAGATGAACAGAATCCGCTTTCTAGGATATAACTTAACTCATGGGAATAACATGTTTCTGTGTTTGGATACAAATTTCTGTACTAAATTTACAGCTATAACATATGAAGGGTTAGCTGGATGACAAGATGAGCGTGCTTTTATAGCAAAGCTCTGACAGTATTGGTGATCTTACTTTTATTTGCTTATCTATAATCTTTGATTTGACTTTTCTATATTTTTTATTATGTTTACATTTGTTTATGTTTGTTTGAGCATTTGCTTTTGTCATTTCCTGTTTTTTGTTTGTTTTGTTTTTTATTGTATTTGTATAATTTCTTTTTAGAGCATACTATGGTAAATCTGTTTGCTATGGCTGGCTGCATCTGTCTAATAGAATACTAGATAATAAAAGTACAGTTGTGGTCAGAAGTTTACATAAACTCATTATAGTTATTTGAGACTTTTATTTCTTTGAACTGTTTTTTTTCCAGGATGGAATGATCTTACAGCACGCATCTTTATTTACTTTAAATTTGTATTGCTCATGTTTGGGTTTATTTTGGATTTTCTCTAATCTATACAGGGTCAAAAGTATACATTCACGTTTAAAATCTGTATATATGCATTCAGTTAAGTCTTTTAATAAGTGGTGTTGAAGATTCCACAATGATTTTTAATTTGACGATGCCTATTAAATTCTCTTTAGTCATCACGATTGACTACAACTGGTAGTTTGTCAACATAAAAAGGACTTGTTTGACAGTATTTACTAGCTTAAGAACTTCAAATACAGGGCATCATTTAATTTCAAATTTGTTGGAATAGGTCTCCAATAGATATTTACTAAAGTAATATAACATACTGTGAATAATTGTTTTTCTAGGAATATACAAAAAAAAAGGTACCCTAAGACATTGTGGTTTCACAGACTGCACAATCTTCTAAGACACAGGTATCGAACTCCAGGCCTCGAGGGCCGATGTCCTGCAGGTTTTGTGTCTTTGATCCAACACAGCTGATTCAAATGGCTAATTTACCTCCTCAGCATGTCTTGAAGTTCTCCAGAGGCCTGCTAATGAACTAATCATTTGATTCAGGTGTGTTGACCAAGGCCTTTAGTTCGACACCCCTGTTCTAAGACAACAGATCAGTCCAGTACTTCTATTTTATGAGAAAACATAAGTGAAGCTTTCTCTCAGTCTTCCAATTGTCTTCTTGAATGTGAAGTTCAGAAAGTCACTGCCTAGATGGATAAAGCCCAAAGTTTCTTTGCATTTCATCAGTAGCTGTCTCCTCTTTTGTCACGGCACTGGGTCTGTGACCCAGTGTTTTGTATCCGTTTTAATTTGTATTCCTTGATTATTGTTATTCATGGTTTTGAGTTCGGTAGATGGTTTTCTGTTCATATTAAATTTGTTGTGTTTTTTAGCTTCTAGTTACGGTCTCTGTGTCCTCCCTTTGCTCCACATTTCATTTCTTGCCTCCATGTTCCCTCTGTCTCCCCGGTCAGTCATGTCTCTCTGGCTACGTTCACACTGCAGGCGAAAGCGCATCAAATCCGATTTTTTTGACCCTATGCGACCCATATCCGATCATGGTATGACGGTGTGAACGGCACAAATCTGATATTTTCAAATCCGATCTGGGTCACTTTCGTATGTGGTACTGAATCCGATACATATCTGATGTTTTAGAAAGCGACTGCTGTTTGAACAGTCATGTCGCATTAAATCAGTCTTTTACGTCACTGACACAAGACAGACGCCAATTATCAGCGCCGGAGAAGCGCCTGAGAAGATTTGGCGAACACTTCCTGGCCATCCAGTGTAGATGTCAGTGAAACTATTGGGAGGACAACGTTGGAGAAACGTGAACATTTTATTTGTACTGTATAATCTGCAGATTCTGACAGAAATCTGCAACTATCCTTTGAAGCACCGCTCCTCTAAAACAGCAATAAGGATCATTATTAGGTTATCTACATTATTATGTAAATAACAAAATAACTTAAAGCAAAAATTGGGAAACGTAAAATCCCGAAACAAGTCTTTATATTAACGGCCATCAGTCAAACAATACTGTTTGCTCTGGGTCTAAGCAGAGCGCGTTGTGTGTGACGTCTTGTTTTGCGCATGCGGGCCGCTTTGAGGGTTCACACTAAAGTGCGTTTGCTGTCGCATTTTATTTGTAGTGTGAACGAGCAGACAAAAAAATCGGATTTGATCAGAAAATCGGAATTGAGCATTAACACCTGCAGTCTGAACGTAGCTTCTGTCTCTGTGTCAAGTCCACGTCTCTGTGTTATACTTCCCGTTTTACTTTGCCGGTTACTTGTCTCATGTCAGTGTATCTAGTTTTGCTTCCCCTTGTCTCATCATGTCTAATTAGTCCCAGCTGTGTTTCCCTCCTGTGGCCCATTCCTACGTTACTCCCTTGTGTATTTAAGCCCTGTGTTTTCCTTGCTCTTTGTTGCGTTGTACCCTCACAATGCTGTGTTTTTTCCTCCGTGTTCCTTGCTGTTTCTGAGTTTATGGTCCCACCCCCCCCTTGTGTTCTAGTTCCTTCGTTGTCTGTCAGTCTTGCATTTGGGTCCTACATCCTCCCTGTCACACCGCAAACATGACATCTTTCTCTTTATGTTTTTGCTATCGAAAACAATGACAAAATTTGCAGAGTCTTGTCCACAAGGACTTTGAGGCTGTACTGGTGATTTTGTGAACAGCTGTTTTGCAGAGTTTGTGAACTTTTTCAATCTCTCCTTCTGTTTGGTCTTCAGAAGAAATGCTTTAGATGGAAAGGACTTCAATCACTCTAATTCAGATTTTCCTTGAAACAGCAAAATTTCCTGACATTCATGTCCAGATGAATGTCAACATGAACAGTTTCTGGGTTTGAAAAGTGACATCAGGTTGATCCAGTCCCTGTTAGTGACAAGTAGGACAGTGCAAGTTTAATTCGATTTTATTTTTTTAAATATAGCACCCAAACATAACAACAGTTATGGCCCTACAATAATACAGAGAAACCCCAACAATCAAACAATCCCTATGAGCAAGCACTTTGGTGACTGGAAAGGAAAAACTCCCTTTTAACAGGAAAAAACCTCAGGCAGGACCAGGCTCAGAGAGTTCAGCCATGTGCCACAACAATCAGCTTAAAGCTTTGCAACAGGCAGGTGGCGAAAGTACAGACATGTCAAGTTTCAACTGCTCTTTTCAAGTAAATGTGAAAAACTACAGGCTCTGAAATATGAAATGTTCTCCAAGTAGGAAAGTAAAATGCAGCTCTTTGAAGGACTTTTCTACCAGAGCTATTATATAAGGTTCAGCTAGATTTCCTAGCAGATAAATAATTTTATTAATTTCAGCTGCCAGTGACTTAAATGTTGTTGCTAAGTAGGAATATATGTGAAGCATTAATTTCATAACATTTTTAGCTTTTTTGCATCTGTATGTATATTTGAATTATTTTTTTAGTGTTAGTGCTCCAACTTTGTTTTCTATTAGAATAAACTCTATTGCCCTAAAAGCTGATATGGCCGATATGCTTTATTAAATTCAAAACTATTTGTCTGACTGTAAACTGCAATTTGATGGAAAGAACAACAGTGATGTGTTGACTCTAGTTATGCAACGAAATCCTGGCAGACACTTCAATACTTTCCATTTTACTTAGTTATGGTCTAATTTTTATTTTCATTGTTATTTTATTGTTATTGTTTTTTTAACACTGTTCTGTAGGTACAATTTTTTTCATTATTTTACAGTATAAGGCCCTCATTATACACCTGTGGCACTTTAATTTAATCTCTCTCTCAGCTAGCAAAGACTAATGGGTCGCTTCAGTGATAGCAACTAAACTGGGGAGTAAATTTAAATAGCTTAAAATTGTTATA